GTCTGTCTGTAACTTTGTGTGGTAGTGTTACCACTGACAGGTCTCTCTTGAAAATGAGACCTTGTGTCTCAATGAGATTTTACACCTGTATAAATAAAGGCTAAATAAAAAAATAAAAAAATAAAATTAATCTTTCTTTATTTTTCAACGTAAGAGAGGTTTTCCTACAATTCAAGCATACAATTATGTCCAAGGAGTGTAGGGTTTGGGAATTATGGCAGTTTAAAAAAAAAAAGTAAGGCGAATTTCAAGCTCTCCTCCACTCTAGGTGTGACATCACGCACTCTGAGCCTTAACGAGCTGCGCAATAGAGTGCCACAGTGACGCGTCCTACAACCCGGAAGTAAACTCCTTCCGGTTCCTTCGACAAAAACCAATGCAATTTCTCCATAGGATTTTGGAAAATAGCTCGAAATAAGGTCTGTGGTTGACACAAATTGAAGAGACAGATCACGTTTTGTTCAGCCGGATAATATCCACATGTCTACCCTACTTTTATAATTTTCGAATCATAAATCTAATCGATAGATTTATGATTAGAAAATTATAAAAGTCACTGTGGCACTCTATACACACTAATGTTAGAATCTGAAGAAGGCCTCTTTACCAAGCTCCAAACTAAGTTAAATATCTCAAAAAGTGTAAAAAAATATCAAAAGTCTGAAGAATACGTTTAATAGCTGAAGGTCTTGTGACCGTTTTAAAGTTGGAATGAAGTCTCTAGCTGAAAGTATGTGGAAGGAGTAGCATTCGGAGCATGGTGTAGTTAAAAGAGGATTTGAAGGTTCCTCCAATTGAGTTACATGTTAAAAAAAGAGTTTAAAAAGCTGAATATTTCAAAAGGTATAACATATTTTCAAAAGTTGAAAGTTTCCCATCATGTGCTGAAAAGGCTGAACATTTTGATATTTGAATGGTTTCTGTAGCTGAAAGTAGGCTGAAGTTATTCGACGGCAAAATGTTGGATGAAATAATAATAATAATAAGAAGAAGAAGATGATTAAAGATTTGAAGAACTATAGTGGAATGCTGTGGCACAGCATTCCACTAATAAACCAGCGACTGTATTCGCCATGACACAGACAGTCTGTGGTTTGTACTTGTTTCACTTTTGTCCAGTTTCTGAACAGATATGAGGAGCTGTGAGCTCTGTGTGCTAACAGCTAACGGCTGATGTTTTGGTTTTCTGATTCAACGTCAGTGACGGCAGGCAGGCGCGCCGGATTCATTTTAGAAGTGGGGGGGCCAAAAAAGTGCGTGTGTATGGCCCAATCCCAAACCACGCCCTACACCCTACACACTCCCCCTCCGTGACGGAGTGAACTCCGTGGAGTGACACATGAGGCTCCCTCCTGTCAGATGGAGGGAGTAGATACAGCGGCAAACTTTGGGACAAACTCCCCTCTCTCCGGCAGAAACAGGAAATGCCGTAACTGTATCAACGGTATCAAATCAGCATCTCTTTGACAAAAAATGTAAATTAATAACTAAAATAAAACTCCAAACATCTCTAATTGTGTTACTTTTTTGTAAAGCTCTTTTAGTTTTAAACCTGATGTTTATAAGCTTCTTAGTTTTTGCAACAGTCTGTAAATATACACACCTTTATAATAAAATGCACACATTTACCTTTTTTAGACTAAACACAGGTAGATCCTAAGTTAAAAAAATATGAGGTTATCATGAGGTTGTTAACATCGCAGTTTATCAGTGGATGTTTGCTGGAAGCACAATAACTGCATGTTTTGCATTGCTTTTAAATTTCAGTTAATATAGTGGTGAGAGACTCCCGATACATTAGATTTATAAGTTAATTAATTGTCTCATGATGCATATTTCCCGGTGAGCATGAAGCTTTTCAGAGTGGGGTTTTTCTCAGCTACGAGTTATTTTGGAAATTGCTCTCCTGAAGAAAGCGCACTTTTTTTTAATACACTCTCTGTGGAAATGAGACTTTTCGTGGCTGTCCAGGAGGCTTGGGCACTTTTCCAGTTATTAACTCCGGTATTAACAAAGCTATCATCTCCACATTTTGAGAAAGTTACAAGCCGTTTGACAGCAGCAAATCTGCATTTTTTTTTTATTATGTGGCGGCGGTTTTGACAGTCTCTGCGGCCGCAGAGCTGCTGCTTTTGGGTTCATCTGGCTTCGCTGTTTCTATGATTGATGAAGGTCCAGGCTCCGGAGACGTGGATGTCAGGGATGTGACCTTCCAGTTGTTAATTTAAGTTTAGATTGACCGTATTTAGTTTTCTTCTGCGCTGGTTCTTCTGACGTGTTTGCAAGTGTATATATTCTTTCTATCTAGGTTAACGGCTGACACACACAGAACAACGTAACAAATAAAGTAAACAACGTAACGAATAAACAAATCTAAGCTTTTTTATTGGTTGTAATTTACATGGATACATTTGAATGGTGTGACAATGTCCTATTTGATTGGGTTCAAATGTACATATTCTTCCTGTTATGTCTGCCTGCTTTATTTTACCTAATGCAAAGTGACCTGCTCCATCGAAATCAGTCGCATTGACCCGAAGACACATTTTGAGTTGTATACACTGTTGGAAAGAGGAGATTCCTAGCTTTCTAATGATATCAGGAAGGATTGTTGTAGGCTACTCCAAATATTAAGCAAAATATGTCACATTATATAATGACTGTTACAGAGTCATCATTTTGAGAAAAAGGCCTTTAAAGTTTCCTCTTCTCTGGATCGATCTGATTGATTAGCGGAGCAAATGATCAAAATACTACGGAGGGAAGATATTTTCGTTTGGATTACTGGTCTGGGGGAAGCCCGCGAGTGTGTGTGTATACGTGTGTGTGTTTGTGTATTTTTGCATTTGTGTGTATTGTGTTTGTTTCCCGGGGAAAACACTCACGAGAAACACCGGATGTTGTTATGCCTGCAGTGACGTTAAGTTACTCCGTTCTCCGCTTGTAATTATGCCGTTACAAGCTTCAAAGTTGTATTTATCATCTGAATTTGCCGAAACAATTTTAATATTCTGAAAGCCAAGACTTTGTTTATTTGAAATCAGATAAAAACAAACTGTAACGGACCCTGCCGTGTTATCTATGATTACTATACGCCTTACATTCATAATTTCAGCAGAGGGAGGGGAAGCGGCGCTGTGGAACAGCAGAGTGGCGAGTGAGAGCTGTCATCTTCCCTTTACAAGCTTAAAAAATGCCTGTAGCTAATGAGATTGAATATAACAATCAAACATAACAAAATATACACAGCTATATCAGATCGCGTTTTAGATGCGACTTTGGCCCCCCCGCTTCCGGCACCCTTGACGGCAGGCTGAGATCCTCACCGCTGATTGGCTACTGCGAGATCGCGTCAGGCGAATTTCACGCTCGAGTTGAAAAGATTTGCGTCTGTCCGCGTCTCTGCATTGACTTTACATGTAATCGCGCCACCCCCAAAAATCGCATCGCGTCCGGTGTGAACGCACCATTAGAGATGTCCTGCCCAGGGGCGTCGCCTGGACCTGAAAACATTCGGGGCTTAGCCCACAGTGGCGGCGGCACTACAGTGGCATTTTTTACTGCAACACTCCCCACACGCACACACACAATACACCCGCGACTGTTACAATAAAGGCTCGATAATCAGCTCACGGCATATAGGCAGGGGTAAAGTGGTATTTTTTATGAGTGGGGGGCTCACCTCCTCGTGGGGGGTCCGGGGGGATGCTCCCCCGGGAAGATTTGTTTTTTAAATATTGAAGTTAAAAGCATCAATCTGGTGCACTTTGAGAGCAAAATGAAGAGATCTATGGATACCTCTCTGAACACCCATATGAAGCAGAACTGTAAACAGATGTACTTTTTCTTTATGGATATTTTACTAATCACTCCCTTTTTAAACTCTATTCTTGTTTTACTGCCATATAGTATTTCATAACTGTTTTTCCTTTATTCTCTTTTTTTTAATAACTATAATGATCATATGAAGGTGTGCCGCGGAAATAATCTTTTGAATAATTTGTGACCAAACCGTTTGAGACCCACTGAGATAACTTAGACTAAAGTTAACTATCTAAACACTCAGAGAGTCCTTTAGCTCACCTGAGTCTCTCAGTCTGAGAGGAGAGGACTCTCCTCCAGCTTGTTGTGGAACAAACAGCTCCTTATGTCCTAGTGCAGCTAGCTAACCAGATGCTAACAACACGGTCCATGCTGACACCGGTCTCTCCCTCCCCCTCTCTCCCTCTCTCCCCCTCTCTCTCTCTCTCTCACATGCGCTATTGCCACACACAGAGCCGAGCTTGAATGACACACGTTTATTTCCATGCAACTCTCTGATTGGTCTGGTGTCATGCCTCTGTTGCATTCACTGAACACGGGAAATTACAGTGCTGCCGTCCTCTCTTGTGTCATGATGAGGTTCACGTAAAGCACGGTTAATGTATTATATTATTGAGGGAGAATTGTCCGGGGCTACAGAAAAAACTTTCGGGGCTAAAGCCCCGGATGCCCAGGCCAGGCGACGCCACTGGTCCTGCCCCTTAGCTTATCACTTAGAATGTGTTGGAGCCCTAGCCAATAGAAGTGTGAGTGTTACATAGTGATGTCATTACAGGAGCAGTGATCTGCAGGTACCAGTTCTTTCAGATACTTTTGCTCAAAACCTTTCGGTTCAGATAAGAAGTCCTTCAATTTGGTAAATACACATTTCAATGACTAAGGTTACTAAATGTGTCTAATTTCAAGTCTTGCGTGCGTTACAAATAGTATTTTTAAAGACTGACCTATACATTTCCTGTTATACATTGCATGTTGGCATTGATTAAACAAGGCCTTTCAAATGTCTGGAGCCCATCTTAACACCACTGCTACAAATGATAATAAATGTCATATTCAATATACTTGTGCAACAAAAAAATTATACAAAAGTCCACATACAGACGTAAAGTCATATCTGTATCACCAGCACCATCTGTTTGATTTGAACAGTATGATTAAAGCATGCTAACGGCACTTACCGTTGACGGTCAGATGCACCCAGCTGCCATTGTGGAAGGTGTCGTACTGCTGCTCCAGCATCAGCACCTTACACTCATACCAGCCCTGGTCGTCTGAGCGCACGTTCTCTATCCGCAGGGAGGACTTGTCGTGCAGACTGGCTCGGCCTGGGGGGGGGGAGAAGGAGATGATGTGTCAGCAGAAAGGGACACACAGAGGTGAGTGGGATGGGTGGATAGAATTAAATGAGGAAGGAAAAGGTGAGAGGACAAGAAATAAAGAGGAGAGAAACACCAGATGAATGTCAAAAAGGTGATCAACCTTCGGATGCATTAGATATTAATAGCATTAATATTACCTTGAACCAGCCCCTCTTTACTGTATGTTGCTATAGGCTTAGACTGTTTGTATACACTCATGTCCAATAGACTAACTCAGCATCCGGGGCGTAATTCCCCAGAGTTTGTGTGTCTCTCACCTGGCAGGTTGCCAGTATTAAAGGTTACCTTTGTGTCATGAGTCGTGGTCCTGCCTGATGCCCATGTTATTTATATATTTTTCAAACTGGATCCATCCCTTCTTTAATCGTTCACATGATAATTTTGGTCATTTGGATTGTCTATCTTGTCATTTTATTATCCATTTCATTTATGGACATGACATCTATTGCTAGTTTTTCTCAGTCCTGGGCAAGATCTTTTATTATAGGGTTTCTTTGGGAGTTTTTCCAAGTCTGTTTCAAGGGTCTCAGAACAGAGGTTGTTGTATGCTGCTAACAATGTGAAGCCCTCTGTGAATTTTTTTCTAATTTGTGATATTGGGCTATATAAATAAAATGTTATCCATTGATTGATTGTTCAACACACTCACTGCTGCACTGTGGTAAATATGATGTGAAATGTGTCACGTAAACCTTAGTGTGGCTGAGATGTCCTTATCTCCATGTGTGTGCCGGTCTATTTTGGAGACGCTCTCAGGCAAGGACAGGTCATTACTTCCTTTGAGGAGTGGGAAGATTCCAACATGACAACAGAGAACCCTCAGCTGTAGACAGGCTTTGCAATTCGTCAGAACAGATATCGGTTTTTGATTTGCTGTACAGAGTCAGGAATAGCTGCATTTTACTTTTACAGATCAAAAGCTGAGAGGGGGATTGATGATGTTGCTCCGGGCAATCTGGCAACTGAATCATAACAGATGGCGACTGGCAATACAGGCTAAACAAAGGGCTTTAAGGAGGCACATGCCAGCTCAAAACGTCAGCATTATCAAAGCCTTGCGATCCCTCATTAATCCCCTCACCCCCCCCCCCCCCCCCCCCTCCCCTTTTCTATACTTTGTGGGTATTCCTTACTCATTCTCTGTGGCTTTCATTAAACCACTCTGCAGTATCACAGACCAGGTAAATATATCAGGCGCACTGAGGTAAGGTACAGAGTTAGGGATGTTTGTTCACTAGCCTTTGTTTTTAGGCATGTTTGTTTATATATATTTTGTTCCAGTTACAACCATGTCTCTGAAAAGAACAGAGAAAGAGACTATGTTAATTATTAATGGTGAAATATACATTTATTTTATTGCATTATGTCTACTGTACTATCCACTATGAACTACAGTATGTGCTGACGTTTATATTTTGATCAGGGTATTTCTTTTAGATTTCGCAGGACTAGTATTATACTGTGTCACTATATTCCAAAATGTAAAGGCAAACTAAGTATATTTAAGCAATAGCTCACGACAGGCCGTGGTATATGCTCATTATATCACAGCTAAGGGGCGTGGTTCGGCCCGACGCGAAGCGGAGGGTCGACAACCCCCTTAGCTGTGATATAATGAGCATATATCACGGCCTGAAGTGAGCTATTGCTTTTATAAAACGGTTACCAAGTGTGGCAATATGAAAGAAAAATACACACTCTAATTTAAATAGTTTTTATTAGTAAATAATGATGTTCAAAATAAAATAGTCCCTCTGTTGCCTTCTGCACGAAACATAGTGCGAGGTGGTTGCTATGCAACAACACTAACAACAGCTAGCGAACATATTAGACAGAGAGCGTTGATCCATTATTTGGCTATTTATTTACATTAATGTGTATGTTGCCGTTTATTGTGCACTCACTGAAAAACTGTCCAGCATCAGTAGCATGGCTTACGTGGTTACTTGCATAGGCTGAGGTTGTTCTAGGCTGTTGCTTGGCGTGGCGAGAATATTGCTCCACTTTCTCCGGTCCCCGAGATTCGGCTTCCAGTAGCTCTGGAGAGAGCTTTCGCACCTGTGGCCACTAACGGTCATAATTTCTCTGCTTTGTTTCAAGACCCGCATCAGAAAGCTTTTGAATGGTGATACTTTTCCAGTTGGTCGACCTGCTCTTCACGTAGCTCTACATGTCGTCGTTTAGGTGCTTTTTGTTCTGGAGATAGGCACTCCTCAATCCACTCCTCCATAGTAAGACACCCCCCCCCCCCCCCGGAGGTCGAAGTTAATCTTAAATGTTTTTGCGGACCTTTTTGATTACAGATTTGAAAACATCGTTGCTCGCTTTAAAAGTAGCACAATTCATTATGTCAAACCTTGGAAAGTATCTAAATATCCCTGCCCTAATGCCAAAGGAACTGCACACTGAATATGTTTTTGCCGTTTGATGTCTATGTCTGGACCGTTGCGTAAAAAGGAGGGTTTCTGCTCCGTTACTTCTCCGCTGCTTTCTTGTTCCAGTTTGAAAAGCAAACTGCAAGCAGTTTGCTTTTCGGCCCAACTGTATACTGTTTATCTCAGACGCGGAGGGTTACTGAGTTGTTGTGAAAAGTAACTTACAATTCTACCCGTGGTATACGCTCAGTATACCACGGCTAAGAACCAATCAGATTGCTTGATTTTACTTGTCCGTTTTATAAAGCACCTTTAAACACAAGCCAATTCAAAGTGCTTCAAAGGGATATACTTAAACATGACATCCTTTTCACTTGATTTGCACATTTCTTAAGGAAATAAAAGGTATTAAATTAAACAAATGTGTTTATTGGTCCTAAATGTTATGTTCTCAGAGTTAACAGCCATGCTGCTGTTTTTAGGTGTAGTTGAACTGTATAGCTGGGAAGCCTGAATCGATGCAATAAAGAATAAGTTATTGGGGTCTACTTTAATATTAGTAGCACAAAATAGAAAACAATTTATGAGATATTTTAGTCAGGACAAAATTGGTGGACCAACTGACCGTAAACAAACATTCTTAAAACTCTCATTTGAATCCAAGCTCAATTCACAGTAGGAATATACATCCTGAACTGTGTCAATATAACAATGAAATAAGTGAGAGAAGAGTATCCCTAGGGGTAGCAAAGCAGCAGTCAGCATGACTTTGTTTCATTGAAGTAATTGAGACACAAGTCCAGCTGTTCCTCCAATGGTTTTCTGTTCAGTCAGTCTTTACGTCTTGTTTCTTCTATCAGTCTCCTGTAGCCGACACACGGCAGTCTGCCACAGAGCAACACTCCTCCTGATTGGCATTCACTGTGATAACACAGGAGGACTGCCTGAGGTGCTCCAGGTGCTGTGGGTTGACTGTTCACTGCTATAGTGTTTATCAAAGGAGATGTTATTGAAATGTCATTGAATCTTAAAAAAACACGATTTCATTTTAATATTTGTTTCCAGAGATGTGAGCTATGCCATTGATGCAGACTGGATAGGTTTAGATTTGAACACAAAGGTTACATGGTATCAGGCTGATGTATCCACTAAATGTTGTTGGCAATGTATCATACCAAGGCCATATGGTCAATCTTAAATAGTTTATTTAAAATGTAATTAGGTTTTACCAGTCTTGGGAATAAATGGTAGGCTACAGAGAAAGGAATACTGGGAGGAACGCCCATCCTGCTTTTATCAATTTAAATTGTTTTCAATCAGAAGGCAGCACATCCCGTCGAATTGGACCACCTCCGTAAAAAGCACTACACCGTTTTTTACTGAGCAATCCACCAATCTTGTGCGGTCACAAGGTGATATTATTTCAACTTTTCAGAAAAGCGCTAGATTTTGACCATGTCTTTAGACAGAATTGATCATAACAAAGACCAAAAAGCCAAACATTGGTTTGAACGGATCGGGCGCCGGGACCCAAATGCTGCTGTTGATAAGTATTTACCCTTCGCTCTACAGCTGTCAAACTGAGCACTGACAAGCTTATTATTCCAGATTGTGAGAGCAAGTATTGTTATGGTGAAAACACAAGATCAAACATATACATATACAAATAATAAAATCCCAGGGGGCTATGCTGCCCAGCGCCCTGCCAGGACCTTTCTGATAGAAGAAGCTGCTTCGTGGACACAGGGCCTTAATTCGCTTCGGAATTTAAATTGAGACACCCCTACATCATACTGCACCTTGCATTTATTCTCATACGTGTACTTAATATTTAGCTGTCCTTTATAAGTATGAATCCAACCAAGCATATTGTTTTAGTTTTATAAAACGATCAGATTTCAACTAAGCGAGATTTAAATGTAAGCTGCATGAATTTAGAAGAAGAGCAGAGCAGGTTGGTTGGCTTCAGGAAATGTCTGCTGGGGAAATTCATTTTGAAATGCCACTATTCTTCTGGACCTAGCACATAGTACTTCCACAATAATAAGGGACATTCAAAAATGTAATCTGGGACCACTGCTGTTTTTTATTGGTTCTCTATGCCTCCATTTCTGAATTAATCTTCATGTTGTTTTGCTCTCTTCCTGTCTGGCTATCAATTGATATCCATCTCTTCCTGTCCAATCTCAATGAATAGTTCTATACTTTTCTGCCTCGCCTACTCGGATGTTTTCTACCTCTTCCTCTGGAAAAAAAGAAAATAGGACAATGGCTTGTTTGAGACGAAGGGCAGACGGGTGTAGGAAACAGTGACCCTGTGGTAGGATCGACTCATTAACCCTCGACATCATCATAAGTCTAAAGAGGGCACAATGTGAGCTGCTGTGTCTCTCAGAAGCTTCCAATGTGACCTGTGACTTCATTCCATGATGCAACATCAGAGTCACACTGCACACAGCGGGAGGTCGCTGTTCGTCTGAACGCAGATATAACTTCAGATGTTCCTCTGCTGCATTCTGAAACAAGATGAATCGTCACTTTGCTTAAGGCTTAAGCTAGTGATGTGTCTCT